GAGAGAGAGAGAGAGAGAGAGAGAGAGAGAGAGAGAGAGAGATGCAGCATGGCCTGTAATTTCAAAATACAATGTGATTCCCAAGCACTGGTTCAGCCAAGTTCTGCACGCCAGAACTACCAGCTAGTTGTCATAACAATAGGTATGTTCAAGAGTTCAACAGAAATCAAACGCCGATCAAGGCAGCAAGAAGTCACAAGTCTGACGACGAGTACCTTGTGACCTGTAGGCAGAAAGGGAGTCTTTCTGTCTCCATCTACAACTACCTGGTGACTGAAGGCCGAAAGGGAGTCTTTCTGGCCTCACTCCACCACACTCACCAAATGTTCAACATGAGACTGAATCTTCCACTACAACATGGGAAGATACAGTGTCATAATTTTTGTTTGTGAGCCGTGCGGAAGCGCTGTCGAAGTGTCTTGTGTGCGTAGGTCTGCAGGTGCTCGTTGACGAAGAGGGCCAAGAGTTGGAAAATCGGCCATAGCCGATAGTTCGTCAGTAGAGGAGAGAGACGGCGGCCATAGTCGCCACGTCAGTGAGATTAGAGTGTTAGTAGGTGTGTGTGTGCATGTGTGTGTGTGTGCGTGTGAAGTGTGTGTGCGTGCGGGACATCCAGGGAGATCCAGGGTGTGTGTACGAACAAGTTGCTGAGAGTGCCGAGGTCGGCCATAGCCGACCAAGACAAGTTTGAATCTGAGTGGCACTCTTGGCTTCGTTATCTCTGAGCTTTGTGTGGGCGCAAGTCGCCAGCTTGATCGTCATCTGTTTGCACACATGCTGAGTGTCAAGAAAGACAAGTCTGATTGCATTGGTATCGGAGCTGGTTCCTGCCGTCCCGATCGCCACGTCGTCGCCGTCCACTTCTTTACCGTCGTCATCAGCAGCGGCGCCATAGGAGAGGAGGAGAGGCGCCATCCGGGCGCCACGTCATCATGCGCAAGTGAGTCAGATTGCGCGCTTGCTTTGCATCGCTGCCGCTGCGCACCAAGCTTTGCAGCGCGCCTTGTTCTCGCACGCTCGATCCCGCTGTGCGCCGTCGCCAGTTCCCGCCAAGCGCACAGTGTGCCCCGCTACGTGCTGCGCATTGGCTTCCCACGCCGCGTCGCTGTCTACCGCGCGCTGTTGCTGCCTGCACACCACTGCCTATCACTACGAACGCGCCCATTGTCGAAGTCCGCACGTTTGTTTCCGCGCGAAGTTGCTGCGCGCCGTTGCCGAAGTTTCCCGCGCAGCCGCCCGTTACATGCTGCGCTCCGCCGCCGCTGCCGATCGCGTCATTCGAAGGAGGGAGCTGCCACACGGAGGAAGTATCGTCGTTGCCGCCGTGAGCAGGAGAATGCCCCGCTACTTCGAAGAAGACGAGCCGCTTCCAGCTTAATGAAGAAGACCGCTGAGGAGAAGCCCACTGCGCCGAAGTAGAGAGTAACGGCCTAGCCGCCGRWSCSKKGAGAAAGGGAAACGACGACAASAAACAACRARRGAGAGAGAGAGAGAGAGAGAGAGAGAGAGAGAGAGAGAGAGAGAGAGAGAGAGAGAGAGAGAGAGAGAGAGAGAGAGGACTGTGCGATRCAAGWTTGGCTGCTGACGACAACGAACAAGATAAGAGAGAGAGAGGGAGAGAGAGATGGGAACGAAAGAGGATTGTTGTGCGGCTCAAAGAAAAAAGGTGGCGGCCATAGCCGCCGAGCTCGAGTAGAAGACGGAGACGAGGAGACGAAGTGACAAAGGAGAAGAGAGGAAAAGTAAGGAGGAAAGAGAGACGAGCAAGGGAGAAGAGGCCATAGCCAGGGGTGACAAAGAAGAGAGCAGGGGGGAGAGAGAAAAGGAGAAAGGTGAAGGTTGGCGAAGACAGAGGAGGTCGGCAGTCATAGCCAAGGTCAAAGCTTTGACCGGGAGAGTTGACCGGCGACGTTGACCAGGTTAACCAAGTTTGACTGGCCTTGACTAGCGTTGACCGGAGCTGTTGACCACAAATTTGACCAAGCTGGAGTTGGTATAACCACGCCAAGCCTTCAACCTACCCCCTCGCCTTTTGAATGTGCACTTACCCCATGGTACTTGCTGAGTCTGTTTGTCTCTTCTTTCTGCATTGAGTCACTTCTGTCCTGGTTATCTGAATTCGTGCACGTGGTCATAGAGTTGCGTTGACCAAACCTACACGGCCTTAGTAGGGCTGAAGTCCATGTCTAACGACTGACACGTCTCGAAGGCCTAACCTTCCAAAGGATCGGTACAGACCGGCGGGCTGCTCAGTGTGGCATGGTAGGCCTAAAATCCGAGTTGTGGGCTGTACAACCAGCTGTCTACGTCTTGAGAGAGCTTGCGACGTTAAAGAATTCCTAAGGAGTTATGGGGGATCTCATTAAATGCCTCCTGATCAGCAACAGAGTTCTGTAATGGCAGCCTAGAAGTAGGTCCGGGCTAGAGACCCTAGTTGAGAGGATCTGAGAGGATTTTCTAGTCCTTAGAGAGTCAGTCAGTCAGTCAGTCAGTTAGCACAAGCGGTTAACGGGTAGCTGAAAATTCATAAATGAAAATTCTGAAGTGAGAGTTTTGGGCAGTCTGAAAATCCTGAATGGTTCTGAAGTGGTGAAATGTTTGAAGACCTTGAAAACCACCTGTTTAGGCAGGCTGCATCTTGAAGTGGTGAAGAGTGTCCTGAAGTGGTTTCAAGATGCAGCCTGCCTAAACAGGTGGTTTTCAGGGTCTTCGGGACTTTTCACCACTTCAGGACCATTCAAGATTTTCAGACTGTCCAAAACAGTATGAAAATCCTGAATGGTCCTGAAGTGGTGAAATGTCCGAAGACCCTGAAAACCACCTATTTAGGCAGGCTGCATCTTGAAGTGGTGAAGGGTGTCCTGAAGTGGTGAAAGGTCCGAAGACCCTGAAAACCACCTGTTTAGGCAGGATGCATCCTGAAGTGGTGAAGAAAAATACGACTGTTGTTAACCTTCTCTCTAAGTAGTGAGGAGTGGAACTCTCACAAGTTGTGCATCTTTCACCATGGTGACCACGCGAGGAGGAATGAGTACCACCCTGTATAGCAAAGGGCAAGAAGAGCAAGCCGCCGCCCTGTTGAGAGAGAGAAAAGAGAAGATGGAGAAGAACGAGCTCATAAAGCAGGTGAAGACGTTGGCCTTGATGGAAGAGCAAAAGGCCAAGCAAAAGTAGATGGAGGAGGAGATGAAGAAATGGGAGGAGGAGCAAGAAGAGAAAGTGGCGGTGATAGATGCAGAAGCAGAAGCAGAGAAAGAAGAAAAAGAAGAGGGGGTTCCCCTGCAAAGGAATTAAGGAGGGAAGAGAGAGGGGAATCCAGTGGGGCACGAGAAGTAGATGCGAAAGTGGAGAAGACGATAAACGATTGGGTGGCCAACCTGGCATTGGGGGAGGAAGACGAGGCATTGTTATATGTCCCCCAGGCAGAGAGGGAGGCATTTGCAAAAGAATTGGAAGCGGAGGAAAACCCCTTGGGGCGACAGACTATAGAGGAGGAGGAGAAGGAAACTGCGCCTGACAAGGGAACGAAGGAGGAGATTGGAGGCAGCAGAAACGATGGAGAGAGAGCTACAGGCCGCAGAAGAGCGACGGGGGAAATTGGCAGTACAAGTACACCTCCAAAGAAAGATAGAGATTCTCTCTCAGAACATGGAGGTGGTTCTGAAGGCCCAACAGGAACAGTTGCGCTACCTAAGAGGCCATGACATTGCCCTAAAGTCCATACACACAGGTTTTAAAGATTTTGCAAGGGATATGATGATGCGCATGGGCACTCAGTTGCGAGTTGCTTTGGAGCGCACTGAGAAGTTCTGCGTAGGCGCCATAGAAGGCGCCAAGTTAGCGGCCTCCAAAGAAGAGGAGGCACAACCAAGTCGCGAAAGCATTAAAGCTAGATTCCTTGAGCCTTATGGACGGAAGAAAGGAGAGGATATTGATAATTGGGAAGCCAATATCAACTCCTATATCCACCTCCAACTTATCCACCCTGAGAAGCAAGTTCTTGTGGCATTCCAGGCGCTAAAGGATGAAGCGGCCAACTTTGCTAGGTCGCTTGCTCGTGCCGCCAACTATGACAATGATATGGTCACATACTCCTCTGTTACTCACCTAAACGAATTTTTGACTGCCCTCCGGGACCGATTTGCAGATGTCACTATGGGCCTTAGAGCCTCAGACAAACTGCAAACAATCCATTTGCGACAATGGAGTGCAAGA